TGAATAGTCACACGATAAAAAGGCCTCCTAACTTCACTAACTTAGATGTGGTCCATTATTATGTGTTGCCTGCTTATTAGGGGGGAATCTACACCAGCATGCTAAATCCAGACATAGGAATACTTTGACATGTTAGGTTATACTTGCTTTCTCACCTACAGTTACATAATAGGACTGATACCAGCAGCTTCTTTACAGCCACGGTACAATTTATCTCCCTCAAAACCCTGAATTTCCATTTTTATTCTTCAATTTTTGTTCAGAAACAAACAAGATGTAATATTCCAACTACTGAGCTCTACAAGGTGCAGGGAGGCCGACTTGCTGTTTCCCCATTTTTAGATCAACTGGCTGCTTTTGGTAGCTTCATAGTTACTGTTCAGACATCCAAGTGGTATTTAACTTCCCATCTAGCTATTGGCAAGACAGCAAGACGGTATCTTCCATCCAAACAGCTCAGATTTTCCAGGAGAATCCCTCGTTACACTGCAGCATTGATGGGTAGCGTTTTATAAAATATTTAAACACTGAAATATGTCCAGTTACACTGACGAGGCGGAAGCAGAACGGTGGGCGGGTGAAATGTCGTAATTAGCTGTAACACTGCCAGAAAGGTGAGACTGTGTCAGCTGGATACACAACATGTAGGTAGGGAGGTGTGAGTGTGACGGGGGTGAGGGAGGGAGGGAGGAGGGCTGGCGCTGTGTGGAGGCTATAGCTGCCTGATGGGGGGAAGGTTGAGCGAGTCCAGGGCGCTGTGGTAGAGCTCTCTCAACGCTCTCAGCAGGTACAGGCGACAAAACATCTGGTTGAAGAGGTGAGGCAGCGGCTCCTGGGAGGGAGGAAGGGAGGGAGGAAGGAAAATGGAAACAAGAAAGGAAAGATAAAAGACGGAAGGAAGGAAGAGAAGAAGGCAAGACAGAAAGAAGGGAAAGATGAAGGAAGAAGGAAGGAAGGAAGGGAAGATGGAAGCAAGAAAGGAAAGATAAAAGACAGAAAGAAGGAAGGAAACAAAATGACGGAAAGAAGGAAGGAAGGAAACAAAAAGATGGAAAGAAGGAAGGAAAGAAAGACGGAAGGGAAGATGGAAACAAGAAAGGAAAGATGAAGGAAGGAAGGAAGGAAAGATGAAGGAAGAAAGGAAAGACGGAAAGAAGGAAGGGAAGATGGAAACAAGAAAAGAAAGATAAAAGACAGAAAGAAGGAGGGAAACAAAAAGACGGAAAGAAGGAAGGAAACAAAAAGAAGGAAGGAAGGAAAGAAAGACAGAAGGGAAGATGGAAACAAGAAAGGAAAGATGAAGGAAGGAAGGAAGAAAGGAAAGAATGAAGGGAAGATGGAAACAAGAAAAGAAAGATAAAAGACAGAAAGAAGGACGGAAACAAAAAGACGGAAAGAAGGAAGGAAACAAAAAGAAGGAAGGAAAGAAAGAAAGACAGAAGGGAAGATGAAGGAAGGAAGGAAGAAAGGAAAGATGGAAACAAGAAAAGAAAGATAAAAGACAGAAAGAAGGACGGAAACAAAAAGAAGGAAGGAAAGAAAGAAAGACAGAAGGGAAGATGGAAACAAGAAAGGAAAGATAAAAGATGGAAAGAATGAAGGAAAGAAAGAAAGAAAGATGAAGGAAGGAGGGAAAGAAGGAAGGAAGGAAAAAGAAGGAAGGACGAAATGTTTTTTTCAGGCATTTAAACACCGAAACAAGAAAGCAAACACTTCCAGTAACTTCTCCTGTGGTTATAATTCAGGGAATAAAGAAATAACTGTATACACATAGACTACCATATGTATGTCATAGTCCAACAGTATTCATATAATTTCCTCTATGTAAACATGCATCTATAAATACAGTAACACATGCTCACCCCCAACACGTGGACTCTGTTGTAGTACGAGCTGAAGTCTTTACTGAGAGACACGAGAAATTTACAGATCTGAAAAACACAAACACACGTTGATGAGTTACATGAACATCTGCACCAGCTGAGATTTTTTTTTTTAATGCACTCTGTTGATGATTAATTTATTTATCTGTGAGCATCTTGTCACCTGTTCAGTCTTGATGTTCACTCTGGCTCCTCCTCCTTCACAGTCCAGCGCCTGTCCTGATTGGTCCAGCAGCTCCGAGAAAGGAATGAGGTAATTGAACAGGAGGAGCCACTCGCCCTGTCGGTCAAAGCGCAGAGACAGAAGTATAGGATTAATACTGCAACTAATACTGCAACTAATACCGCAACGCTGGGCTCGTATGGTGGAGAGTTTATACTCTCACAAAAGAAGGAAAATAAAAGGGTTTTGGAAATCAAATTAAAGGAGAGAGACAAGAGAATAAAATGACGTAGCAGAAAAGAATAAAGTGGCACCTCTTCTTTCAGAGAAGCAAAGTCCAGCTGGGAGCCTTCAGGGATTTCTGGGTACAAACCTGCAGAGAAACAGACAGAAAACTACATGAACATACTGCACGTGTTGATTCACAGATCTCAGCTTATTGAGGGTTTCTCTTTTATATGACATCATGAAACCGTTTCCACAGATCTAGTAATAATCAATAAAAATGTCATGAAAATCACAACATTGCTTTTGAATTGTGGTTCAACAGAAATATTTTAAAAAACAAAATAAAAATAAGCAAACAAGCATGATGGGACCCGTACTGTCTGGGATAGTTTTTTGGTTTTTTTTAATTATTCTTTTTCACCACAATTCAAAAGCAATGTCTCATTCACTAAATTCTAATTTAGCAAATTTTTATTTATTATTACTTTTTTCAGTTTCTAGTTATTTGAGTGACTTTTGTGAATTTTAACTTTTCTTTAATGGAAGGAGATGAATACATTTGAGGACGACTGTCAAATCCCCTTTTTCAAGTAGTTTAATTGGTATTTTCATTTAATTCCTTACTAAGATCATTATTACTGTTAACATTTTCTTTACTATCATTATCATTTACCTATTCATTTATTTTTACATATATTTTATACAAATCCTTATCAGTTTCTAAAGGACGTGCCTGAAAGTGATGATGTGAACCAAGACACTGTGACTGACCCATGATAGGTGTTTCAATAAATATCATATGACAGATATGAGAACCGTTAACTGACTCTGTAGCTCATCGGTACGTCTCACTCCTGCTGGACTTTTCAGATGTAAAATATGGATTGTTTTGACTTTAAATAAGTTTCTTATCACAGCTGTGGGAATACTGCCGAGTTTTTGTGTCTTTTGGAAAGTCGTGATCTGAGAAATGAAACGTTAATTTACTCACCCTTCTCCACCCCTCTCTCGTAGCTGTCGAACAGAGTGTGCAGTCTGGCGCAGTTGTACATGACAAACACTCCTCCTCTGGGCCCTTTGGTCGACACGCCTCCCTCCCTCTGGACGTCCAGCGTCACCTGAACAGACGGCTGTCAGTCATTCTGACTCATCTAATTAAGTCACAGTGAGGCCTCGAGGACTGACAGGCTTGCCGAAGACAGACTTTATTAATTAATCAAGGTGGGCATTTGGGAAAACACACAATACTTGAACAGACGTGCAGCATCAGCACCCGAAGAATGCAAACACAGAGCAGAAACGATGACTCACAGGACTGGTGTGGACCGTTGACAGCAGCTCAAATCTGACCGTGGCCGAGGTCATCACTTTGATGATGTCATCCCACGTCTGACCTACAGCACGACCAAGCATTTCACTCCAATTAATTATCAAAAGTTAATTGCACGTTGCATCGCTCAGGTCACTGCCATAAGCTTAAATGGGCTGATTATGTGCAGTGCCTCTGAAAGGTTTCACTCTCCTTGGAAGTTTCTACTTTTATTGCCTTTCAACACAGAATTGTGGGAAATATCATTTGGGGGGTTTTGACAGACTTTTTTTTTTTTTTTTTTTAAAGACTGGAAAAACCTATTCCTAACTAACAAAAAATGTAAAATAAGGGATAGTTCAAGTATTCATTCCCTTTAAAGTGCCCCAACTAATTCAACACAGGTGCAGCCAATTGGTGCAAGAAGTCACACAGTTAGTGAAATGGAGATCATCTGAGTGCAGTGAATGCATCTCAAGTAATTGTAGTATAAAAGACATCTGTATCTGGGAGGTCCAATCACTTGTAAATCAAAACTCCTGGGTATAACTAGAGCATTAAGACAAATGGACACTGCAAGCAACTCTGTGAAAAGGTTCGTGAGAAGCATAAGTCAGGGAATATATACAAGAAAATGTCCAAGTTGCTGAATATCCCTTGGAGTACAGTTAAATGCATCATTATGAAATGAATATGGCACAGGTATAAATCTGCATAGAGCAGGTTGTCCTCAAAAACTGAGTGACTGTGAAAGGGTGAGACGAGTGAGGGAGGCCACCAAGCCACCTATGACTCCTGTGAAGGAGCTCTGGCAGCTGTACAGCAACTGTTGGCTGCTCTTCACCATTCAAGGCTTTATGGGAGCGCGGCAAAGAGAAAGACACTGTTCAAAAAAGCAATTATTAAATCTGGACTAAAGTTTGCCAAAAGACACGAGGGAGACTCTGACGTTGGCTATAAGGAGGTTCTTTGGTCTGATGAAAGCAAAATTGAGCTTTTTGGCCATCAGACTAGACGCTATGTTTGTCAGATACCAAACACTGCACATCATCACAAACACACCATCCCCACTGTGAAGCACGGTGGTGGCAGCATCATCATATGGGGATGCTTCTCGGCAGCAGGCCCTCAAAAGATTGTAAAGCTAGAGGGTAAACTGAAGAGTAGAAAAGTGAAGGAAAATCCTGTAGGACAACGTGAGGAAACTGAGATTTGGGAGAAGATTTGTTTTCCAGTAAGACAGTGACTCGAAGCAAACAGCCAAAGCTACAAAGAAATGATTTAAAGACAACAAGGTGAATGTTTTGGAGCAGCAGAGTAGAAGTCAAGGCCTTAATCCAATTAAGAATAAGTGGCTGGAATTGAAGAGGGGTGTTTGCTCATGAACTCAGTGCAACCCGACAGAGCATGAGCAGTTACGCAAAGAAGAATTGGGTAAAACTGCAGCATCCATATTATCTACAAGGCTGATTGAGTCTTATCCATACAGGCACAACGCTGTGATTGTGGCCAAAGGTGTATCTACTAAACACTGACTCATATCTTCATGAGTCTCGAGTCGTTTTTCTAAACTCTCGTTGAATAAGCCAAATTACACTGACCATGATTTAATTTGGAAAAAAAGCAATCAAAGGGAAAACTTCCAAGAGAGTGAATACTTTTTACGGCCACTGTACATAAACATGAAAGCACTGTGATTTTATGTGCACGCTCACCTTCTACTTGATCTCCATACTTCATCTCTGAGGCCTCCTTCATCTGACCTCTTCTCAGCCTGGAGGAGAGGCGAAGAAAACACAAGAGCGCTGAGCTAAAAATACACCGCAGTAACACCCAGCTGAAGAAAAGCACCATCAACGCCCACCAGTGTTCTTTTAATTTAGTTTAATTTGAACTGCGATGCTACAGAGCGCAGAAGACCCTGGTGAGAGTTTCATTTGTGATAATAAACGTGTGTCTGGTGGAGGGGAGATAAGGGAGGACTGGTGGGGGCAGAGGGAAGACAGAAAACCTAAAGATGGTGACAGGAATGGTGCAATAAGGCAAGAGAGGACTAGAAGAAAACAAGACGGAGGCAAAAAAAAAAAAGTCCGTCTTACTGTAGGTACTGTGCAGCGGTGAGGTGAGAACCCGGAGTCTTCACAGGCCCACACACCAGATGTCTCTGCAAACAGCAAAACCAGAGCAGGTAAAAATAGGAGCTCGATACACGACGTCGCTGTGTGTGCATTAGTGTGTGTGTGGTTACCTGTGTGTGTGTCGCACCGCTTGCTCTCCACAGCATCGCTATCTGCTGCTGGCGAAACTCATCCTGACACGAAGTCACATGTAACGCCGTTACCATGGCTACCTGCGAAAGAGGCAGCAAGGACACACAAATCAACGCTTTGTCTGGGTTGTTATGTTTTTTAGGAATATGAAAAGAAATTGGCACGCTGTGTTTGTGTTTTCTCTCACTTTGCAGTCGGCTGTGGAGAGGTCCAGCTGCGCCAGGTGGGAAACGCTGTCTCTGTGAACTGAAACAGACACACAGACAATCTCTTAACAGCTGATGTACGCCACGACGTGTCTTTAACCTGACCTAAAGCTGCGCTAACACTTGAAAAACTGTCAGCTCAGCAGTGGTTTAGTTCAGCTTTCTTGCACAGTCATAAGCCCTGAAACAGTTGCCGTGACTTAGTTTAGACCCAGTGAGCAGCTGGAAACAGGGAACCGAACTCTGTCGAAAAGATCTGCCAAAAAACATCTCTAAGCTCAACAATTAATACTCTGAATATTGTTACAACAGAAATATTACAGCATCGATTTGTGGTCTTTAGTTTCCTGGCAACCTCAGCGCAAAGACTAGATTTCAGGAAGTCACCGGCCCAACCAAGAAGTCGCTCTGGCTTTTAATTACCGATGAAACTGCAGGTTGTTTTCTTCAAATACTAAATTTTATTTCTCTACAGAGATCTAAGTCGCCTGGAGCGGAATGAGAGATCCATGCTTAGATGGATGTACCACATCAAGCATGATCAGCTCACGTGAGCTTCATATGAAACTAGGCCTTGTTGATCTTCATACAGAGATCCAGGAAGATGGTTCGGACATGTCCATCGTAGTACTCAGTGCATCAACAAAATCAGGAACTTGGATGTCGCCGGAAAAAGAAAGAGAGGGAGACCCAGGAAAAAATGGGAGGAGCTGGTGTCAGGGGACCTAGCGGACTGGGGATGAACCCCTGATGATGCCCTCGATGTAGATAAATGGCGACTGGAACTGCGAAGCATCCATGCATCGTCTGGCACACCGCTAGTGTCCCAACAGACGTTAATGGGATAAGTAAGTAAAGTAAGTAAATAATATACAGCTATTTATCTATTTGAATGTTGTTTTCAGACTGCATTCTATTGCAGGGACAAGCAGAGAGCTAATGGCACATGAAACGTGTTTGCCAGCGATTTGGAATAAAATAGGAAATGAGCCTAATTTAGTTTGTTTAATTTATGCATAACTGTTATCGCACCATGAGTTAAGGGCTACAACTTGGAGGACCTAGTGTACTGTCAGTTGATTCTACATGGATTAGGGTTAGGGTCAGAGGCTCGTTTGTTGCTTTTTCTATACAAAATGAGAGCCAGTTGTCTTAAATCATATCCCCAATTTGATAAAGCAGCACCAGAAAACTTGGCTATGTTGCGTTTACACAAACACTTTTAAAATAAAGTTTCACACAAAGACTAAAGTTATTAAATTTGGTGATTGTCGAAACATAATTCGTCACACAACCTGTTGTTTTTACCCAACAAAATGCAAAACTACACAAACCTACCACACATTATGACACTCTTAGAAAAGCTCCATTAGCAACTGAACTGGCCATGCCCTCCCGGCCTCACCTGTGCAGGTACCGAGGCTCGGGTCGTATCCCAGCAGCCCCTCTTCTTGGAAAACCCGTTTCAGGTTGACCCTGAGCGCTCCCTCGTCCTCCCCCTCCTCGGCTTTCTTCGCTCCCCCTCCGCTGGTCCTCCTTCCTCGCTCCGTTTCCTTCTCTCTGTACGCCGAGTTCTCCAGCGCCTCCTGGATCTTCTCCTCTCGCCCCTCATTGGTCCAGTTGGCCGGAGCCGTCGGCCAATCGATGCCCAGAGCTCGGAGGAAGGTGTTGATGTCACTGTCTTTGGGAAGCGTGGGGCAGAAGGACACTGCAAACCTAAGATGAGAGAGAAGATTACATCATCGAGCAGTTATTAATATAGTCCATAAAATATGAAAACAGGAGGTCTGAAGGGCTTTTGCAGTGCTTCTTCTGCCTGTAATTAACCCACACACTCACCCCTGTCTTCTCAGCAGCGCCCCCATGTGGTCAGCCAGCAGCACGGTCCTCAGCTGGCCCAGACTCAGCGTGTCCGGGGTGGGTGTGTTGGGTCTCGGGTGCAGCGCGGGGCAGTTCAGCACCACACAGCCCTGTCTCTGACTCGAGGGCTTCAGGTATTCTGCCGCTCCACCCGCCAGCACAGTCTTGAAAGCTGCAGCCCGGTCCACCCTCACCCTCAGACCTTCACCCATCACCTCCCCTCCGGCTACAGGGAGGACACCGCTGCCACGAAGGGACAGGACTCTGGACATGACAGCTGGAGGGACCTGGACGGACACATTAGATAAAGCATATGTAAGAGTGTGCAGAGACGGTGCCCCTATAGCTCTCCTAGTTAAGCGGGCGACCCATAAACAGCGGCTGTAGTTCCCCAACGCAGCGGTCGTGGGTTCAACTTCTGCTCACGACCCTTTGCTGCAGGTCCTCCCCCACTCTTCTCCCCCTTTTCCTGTCTCACTCTCTCTATCCTGACTAATAAAAGAAAAAAAGGCCAGAAAAAATCATTTTTAAAAAAGAGTGTGCAGAGAGAAAGACAGCTGCATCAGTTAATCAAAAAGTTGTCAACATTTTAATTAACTTTAATCATTTATTTTGATAATCGATTCATTATTTCAGAATCTACCTCATGCACCTTCTCCTTACATGCTTTGTATTTATATACCCAACAACTGCACCTTGTATGTCATTTTTGCACAACTTTAACTCATTACATTTGTATGTTTAGCAATATGCAACATCTGTTACACAACTGCTTTTCTAGTTCCTAATAATCCAAATAAGCTATCATAGCTATAATAAACTATATCACTGTTTTTATAGACCTCACTTGTACAAACATTTTTCTATTTTAGTCTCATACTTTCACATTTCTTACTCTGCTTTTAAAAACATGTCTGATTTTGTGAATGTAATAACAGGACAGCTGCTTAATAATTGTAGAGAAGTCTAAATTCTCTTAATTCTTCAGTTTCTTGAAAGCGATTTCTTTCTAATTTTTCTCCTCCTCTATGTCAGTAAACTGAGCATCTTTGGGTTGTGGACAGAACAATACATCTGATAGCGTTATCTTGGGCTTTGTAAAACACTGACTGACACTGTTCACTATTTTCTGACACTTTATTGGTGAAACCACTAATCAAGGAAATGATTGACAAACTCACTGACAATGGAAATAATTATAGCTGCATCCTGTCTGATACCAGATACTGGCGTGCATTTGATACCCGCTGACATTGTAAGATTATGTCACTGACGACTTTTAAATCTACGGCAAATATGTATATTTGGGGGCTTTATTTTATTGGTCTTTTACTCTTAGATATGCATGTGTGAAAACTTTACACATATATTTGTGCTTCAGGAAATGCTGCATCACGAACCCGCATCAGAGCATTACACATGCTCATCGTGTAAAACACTAGACTGAGCAAAATATAAACACAACACGTAATATTTTATTGAATCCTCTCCTTTCTTTTTAACACAGGTGAATAAGTATTTGTTGTTCCAACACATGGCATCTCTACAACAGAATAAAACAACCAAGTTGCATTATTCTGGAAATGAACATGGAAAAGTTAAGGCTGTGTCCCCATATCCATACTTTCATAATATATAGTAGTTCGGAAAATGATTTAATATGTGCCAATAATAACAATAATTTGTCAAATGTCGTATGCCAAAAATACTAACATGTCCAGCATGCATTTCTGGTTGTAAACAGATGACAGCTCATTTCGCATGACAGACGACAATGGTCAAAATTTGAAGCGAAATAATGACGAATTAGTCTGTCCCAGTTGTACATATACTACCGTAAGTTCCGGACTCTAAGCTGCTATTTTTTTCACATGCTTTGAACACTGCAGCTTCAACTATGATGCGACTAATTTGTGGATTTTAACGTTTTTTACGAATTTGCCTCGAGACGAAAGCGACATTGAGAGTGACAACGAAAAACAGACTGAGCAAGTGTGTAATGTGTAAGTAATTCTTTTTTTTCTTTTCAAAGTTAGTGTGTGCGGCATATATTCAGGTGCGCTCAATAGTCCAAAAATTACGGTACATAAAACAGTCCATAGCTTGTGAGGGCAGCTTTAATAGACACTTAAAGTGAAAATAAAAAGTATGCACTTCAGACTGCAGCCTAACAACCAGGTCGTACAGCAAAAATCACAAGTCTGTAACGAGTCACACATTTACAATACACTGAGTTAATGAAGCTGTCGATGCTGCTTGTGGGACTTTAATAAAGGACTTGGTGAAGTTAAAGGACATTATTGGGGACAGGATCATGTGGTAGACTGTCTGTCGGACCAAACTGTCTGAAATGATTTCTTAGACGACATGTTGTGGACATATTCCTGACTAAGACCCTAACGGACCGGCAGCATCCAGCATGACAGCAGCCTGTTCTCGTCTTTATCTGGTTATCTGTGGCATCGTGTCGTTTGAATAAAGCTGCATTTTGAAGATGCACTTTTATAAGATGAGATCAGATAAACTTTACTGATCTTTCACCAGGGAAATTTACACGTTACAGCAGCTGGATACACATGGGGCGTAGAAGAAGCTAGACAGGGAATGCAAAAGTACAATCGGGTTAGAAATAAGCTTTGTTTTTAAAGCAGAAAATAATAATAATAACTAGTAAATAGGACCTATTTTTATTCAGTGCATGCAAAAGCACGAGCATCCCCCTACGAGCAGACCTCAGTGGGTTTAGTGTAACCTCAGTTTGCAGCTGTGCATGTGTGTCTGACCCACATTGCTTGTTCCACTCATGTGTTAACAATTACCGCTGCAGGCTGCCAGCGTCTGGTCGATCAGGACGGAGCAAAGGCCTCTGAGCGGCCCTCATTCAAACAGCCTCACGGTTAGGAGTTCACCTGTCCTTTATCACACCTGGTGGGAATCAAGTCAGCTCTGAATTGGAATCAGCTGATGAAGCAGGTAGCTCTGCTCCTATTGGCCGAGTCACGCTTCTGCTGACAACACCTCCAGTCCATTTAACACCACTGTATTACTGCGCCAACACAGAACCACCTGCACTGGCCGAGGAACTATACTGTTTAGCGGAAGGATAACACGCAGAGTTTCTGTCCGCATTAGAACTTTAACGTGCTGGTACCGTTAAATGACAGCTCCGGTGATGAGGACTGTTTCAGGAAAAGGGCGTTTAGCTAACAACCGAGCAGTTAGCTCGTTCATTCCTCCGCCGTTAACTTAAGCTAATATTAGCTCAAGCTGTTTATTAGCATCTAGAAGCTAAACATACCGATGAACCCAACAGGTACGCGTCCGACCCACCTGTCCGTCCGCATACAGCGTGTTGAGCATCGTGGTCGGCGACAAGAAGTCTCTGTTCCGGAGGTTTTTCGCGCTGCTCTCCTTGAACCAGAGCTTCTCCGGTTCGGGGAACACCCTGTCGCCGTTGCCCCGGTCGGAGTCTCGCTTCCCCCGCAGCGCGGAGCTCAGCGCCCGGACGGTCGGGGTGATCCGGAGCGGCGACGGCTCCTCGATGTTCTCCATCAGCAGCAGCAGCAGGTGAGCTCGGTACCAGGCGGTCAGCACACCCACACCCTGCGCATGTCTCCCGGGTAACACTCGGTGGTCGTGTCGATGCGGGCGGTGCTGGAGCTCAGATGTTCCAGGCGTGAGGCTGATCACTGGTCGATGTCAGATATTGGCTCTAGAGCAGGACTGCATTGGCTGTTTTCCCCTTTTGCGGAACAACTGAAGCGCGGTCGGTGTTTCTTCCGGGAGGTATTTTCGTGTCGGACCAGTGTAGCGCCGTCCAGAGGTGTGGCAGAGTAACTGCAGCCTGAAGCTCACTGCAGCAGAGGAGGCTGCAGCTTGACCCTGGTGTGTCAGGAGGCCCCCTGCAAACTGGATGGATGTTAAAGTGTTCAAGGTGTTGCTTTAAAGGTTTATTTCACCCAAAATACGACTTTCTAAGAATATATTTATCATTTTAAAAGGTTACTCTACTCAAAACACACACCGAAAAACTGTCCTACATCTCTCTATAGTACAGACACATAATGAATGGACTATTTTGACTTTAATAACTATTACATATGCTACATAGGTATTGTTCTACTTGCATAAAAATTCTGTCCAATATTTATACTCTGGTCAATATTTCTGATTCATGAAAGAATCTGCAATACCACTGGCATGTGCAACACTGTGTTTATTTATGTTATTTTTGTACTACATTTTCTAAATGTTTGCACTCTTTGCCGCTGTAACCTTGAAAATTAATAAAGGCACATCTTATCTTAAATACTATTTTTACTGCTGAGTTCATTCCAACCAAACACTATTTTTTTTAACCAACATGTCATGGTTTTAAAGGTTTATTCCACCCAAAATACCACTTTCTGTTCAACTACTTCTAGTTTTGAAAATGGTATCCATCCAAAATACTAGTTTACAACAAAATAATAGAGGAAGAAATCGCAATTTGACTCATTAGTTAAGGTTTATGTCATCCAAAGTAGGATTTTAAAACAATTGAGTTATAGTTTTAAAGGTTTATTCCAACCATGATAGTACTTTTAACAAACAAGCTATGGTTTTAGGTGTTGAGGGGGGGGGAACGGACGGGACGGGACGACAAGGTTCCTTGAAATGTGGTCCTACAGCTGTGGTGCTTGATCTGGAACAATGTGTCAAAGGAACATCCATATGCATGCTGTCACTAAATGTTTCCCAGCAGAACATTGCATTGTAACAACTGCTATTATGACTGCTATTACTGCTGCATCTGAAAACTGTTTAATAGCATTTGATATANTGCATCTGAAAACTGTTTAATAGCATTTGATATAATGCATTAATCTGCAATAAGTCTGATAATTATTGAAAGTAAGCAATTATTTTTTTTGGCTTACCTAATTTTTGCTGATAGTTAACGAGATGGTTTTAGGTTTTTGACTGTTTGTTGGACAAAATGAGCTGTTGGGACATGTTAAAATAGGTTCTAGGAAATCAATATTTTTAATTATTTTCCTTCCACTGATTTCTGATATTTTATGGACATAATGAGCATTGTTATTTGTTGCAATCCGAGCCGTGTTTGTTGATTTCTGGTTCATGTGACTGTTTGAACTCGACTCTACAGAGTGATGCATGTGTAGAATTTGACACCAGAAGGCTGTTTTCACATGCAGGTGCTGGAAAGTTTCGCTGCTCTTACTAAATCCCTGTTTATGTGGGTTACACAGAGGCTTTCAAGGAAGGTACAGTCCAATATGCAGTCTGTAGAAAGAGGAAGTTTAATATCTTTAATGCATGTACACTGAGAATCATGTTGGAGACATCTTGTGTCCAACAGTCGATACAGTATGATCCTATGCTATCAAATAAAGTATTATTTAAGACAATATTACACTGCAGTGATTGAGTACTATTACATTTTTTGTGGTAATCAGAAAGAAATGTCTAACACAAGGTTTTGCAAAGTGCTTTGATAGAAAATGTAAAAGCAGAATAACCAGAGAGCAACATAACAGTTAAGATAATGCTAAACTACTACAGATGCAAAATGTCAGTATTAAGGAACATAAATAAAACAATTAACTCAATAAAACCTTAATAGTCAAATCAAGCCACTGGCATTTATAGAGTACTTTTAAAACGACTGTTGAGCCAAAGCGTTTTCCAGTAGACAAATAAGATTAGTGTTACAAATTTACCCTACAAGTTTTTAATGTTGAGGTATGACCCTACTACAGTGTTATTTATTATATAAAGTTAGCTGAGGAGGGAGCAGGTGCAGGGAGGGTGGTCATCTGTCTCAACAGGTTGGAGTGAGGGTGAAGATGAAAGCAGAGACAAACAAGAGAATATGAATACTGAACCGATTGGTGGGTTCTGTAGATGTGCAGCTAAGAGCCTGAAATACCTGCAGAGAAGTACAAAGAGGATGAAGTACAAACTACGAGAGCAATAAGCAATAAAAAGCTTAAAATGCAATAAAGAGGTGACATCCCATAACAGCAAGTCTATAAACATGGGTTTTTAGAAATGATTTAAATTAAGTCTGTTCGTATAGTTACAGAACATTAAAAACATAAACTGTACTTGTATTAGTCTGTGCACATCAGATATTTTATCAACATTAAATGCAAATAAATATCAGCATGAGATTTCCTAACCCCCATAAAGAGTTTTCAACCAGCCTATATACAACCACAATGTAAGAAAAGTAGATTAAAGATGGAGAGAATTAATTCTGAAGGATTGACAGCTAAAACGCTCGACATTTGGATCCGAACATTAATATAAATATCATTTGCAGATTACTTTTCTCAGTAGTTAATGTAAAATGAGTTTCAATATCGTGTGTAACATTTCATTTCAATATTTTGATTATATCTGCAGTATTTCACTTTCATGTACAACATTATCAATTTGGTATGCAATATTTCCTTATCGTATTTAACATTATTTATTACCTTAGTATCCCTGCCAGCATTACTTATCTATTCTAATCTTCTTTAAACCCTCCTATTTTATTTTCAATATTGTATTGTACTTATAACTTGTGCTTTTCTACCAGGCACTGTATATCTAATGTCATTTAGTTTTGTTTTTTTTTTCTGAGCAATATCTGGCAAAGAAATTTCTTTTGCAATTAAAGTTTTTATTATATCTTACTGAATTCTGTCTTTTTTTGTTTTTGATGTGCCTTCAAAAAAGATTTGCAGCGACCACATCTTATAAAATAAAATAAAAAGTCACCCCTGGTCATGTTTTTGGATAAAGAGTAAGAAGCAAATATATTGTGACTTTCGCTTTGTTCCACAAAGGAGAGAGTCACAGTAGAAAATAAATGGAGAATGACTTTGTGATAAATAATAATACAGTAAAATAAAATGTGTTNGGCCACACAGTCATAGGTGAAGAGCGTGTCCTACATCTCTCTATAGTACAGAAGCATAATGAATGGACAATTTTGACTTTAATAACTGTTACATCTGCTACATGGGTATTTTTCTACTTGCATAAAAATTCTGTCCAATATTTATGCTTTGGTCAATATTTCTGATTCATGAAAGAATCTGCAATACCACTGACATGTGCAACACTGTGTTTATTTATATTGTTTTTGTACTACATTTCCTAAATGTTTGCACTCTTTGCTGCAGTATCCTTGAAAATGAATAAAGGCACATCTTGTCTTAAATACTATTTTTACTGCTGAGTTCATTCCAACCAAATACTATTTTCTAACCAACATGTCATGATTTTAAAGGTTTATTCCACCCAAAATACCACTTACTGTACGACTACTTATAGTTTTGAAAATGGTATCCATCCAAAATACTAGTTTACAACAAAATAATAGAGGAAGAAATCGCAATTTGACTCATTAGTTATAAGTAGGATTTCAAAACAATTGAGTTACAGTTTTAAAGGTTTATTCCAATCATAATAGTACTTTTAACAAACAAGCTATGGTTTTGTGTGTTGGAGCAAAACAAGGTTCCTTGAAACGTGGTCCTACAGCTGCGGTCCTGAACATGTAGCCTGCTCTGTGTTTTTGGTGTGAAGTGTGCATACTCATGGAGGCCATCGCTGTCAGGGAGGGCCATCACCACTGGGGGGTGTGCTTGATCTGGAACAATGTGTCAAAGGAACATCCATATGTCACTAAATGTTTCCCAGCAGAACACTGCATTGTAACAACTGCTACTATGACTGCTATTACTGTTGCATCTGAAAACTGTTTAATAGCATTTGATATAATGCATTAATCTGCAATAAGTCTGATAATTATTGAAAGTAAGCAATTATTTTTTTTGGCTTACCTAATTTTTGCTGATAGTTAACGAGATGGTTTTAGGTTTTTGACTGTTTGTTGGACAAAATGAGCTGTTGGGACATGTTAAAATAGGTTCTAGGAAATCAATATTTTTAATTATTTTCCTTCCACTGATTTCTGATATTTTATGGACATAATGAGCATTGTTATTTGTTGCAATCCGAGCCGTGTTTGTTGATTTCTGGTTCATGTGACTGTTTGAACTCGACTCTACAGAGTGATGCATGTGTAGAATTTGACACCAGAAGGCTGTTTTCACATGCAGGTGCTGGAAAGTTTCGCTGCTCTTACTAAATCCCTGTTTATGTGGGTTACACAGAGGCTTTCAAGGAAGGTACAGTCCAATATGCAGTCTGTAGAAAGAGGAAGTTTAATATCTTTAATGCATGTACACTGAGAATCATGTTGGAGACATCTTGTGTCCAACAGTCGATACAGCATGATCTTACACTATCAAATAAAGTATTATTTATGACAATTTTATATAAAATATTACACTGCAGTGATTGAGTACT